TTTCAACTCAGCGGCGCACTGGGTCCTCAGGCGCGGGCAGCAGATGGAACTGCGAGTTGCGATCGACCACAATTGAAAGCGCAGTGAACGAAACGTCAAACATTTGGCTGGCGGGAGGACTGCTACCCAGCGAGCGCGCCAGCGGCCCGAAAGCCGATAAGCACGCCCGAGCGAGCTCAACTCGAGGTGAACTGATGCGCGAGCAGTCTGGTGCTAATAGCCACAGAACCATCCACGCCCAAGAAGGGCCAGCGGCGCAGGGGGTCATCGGGCGCGGGCAACAGATAGAAGCGCAAATTGCGATCGAACAAAATCGAATGCGCAATGAAAGAACCGACAGTCACTGACAAGCAGGGATGGGTGGTAGACGCGGAGGGCTGCAAAGACGCGAGCGCGCAGCGGCCGGAAAAATCGAGGAGCGCGCACGAGCGAGCCGAACTCAAGGCAAAATGAAGCGCAAGCAGTCTGGTGCTACTGGCCACTGAAACATTGCACTAGCAATGATAAACAACGGAACGAGCCTGCAAGGCTGCCAGACCAGCCGATTGGCGGGGCGGCGCGAAGCGGGCTGGAGGAGAAAGGGGGGGGAGAACACCAACAACGCCGAACACGCGACGGATAAGGAGCGAGCAGAACAGACAAAGGAAAATGCAGGAGGACAGACAGACGGTCGATCGCGCCCCTGCAACGACATCGACGAGCGGAGGAACGGTCACACAGCCGCCTCCGCGATCGCCAGCGGCCGAGCCGAAGCGCGACAGAGGCTGGTCGGGGCAGCAGACCGAAGCTATGCACTGGACCTACCGGACGCGCAAGATCCCCGCAGCTGGGAAGACACAGCCGACCAAGAAACGCGCCCAGACAGGCAAGAAGCAAAGCGCGAGGCGCGCGCAGCTGCTCGGGCGGCAGCACGGCGCCGCCGCCTCGGGCGAAGACTCAGCCCGCGGCGCACACGATCGGCAACGGCCCAAGGGGGAGACAGACAACCCGCGATAAACCCCCGGAATTTTCGCGAGGCTGCCGGCATAGTCGATCGGAAAGCACCACGCCGCCCAAGGCGGCAGAGTCGCGAAGAGGCACCGGGCGCGCCCGGCGACGGCGCGGGACATGCCACGCGTCAAGGGCAGGACGCAAAAAGGAAGGCGATACTCAAAGCGGCCACGCCGCATGGGCTGCGCCCAGCAAAACATCACGCGGGGCAAGAGACGCAAAGGCTCTCGCAAGTAATACCCAGGCGCGCCCAGGACAGGAGGGAGGACAGGAAGCGAGGGGGGGCCGAGAGGCAGCGACGCCAGAGCGGAGGGGCCGCCCAAGAGTTGCCCCACAGCCAGAGCGGACGGGCGCGGGCAGGGCGAGACCCTCAGAACACCCGCCCCTCCCGAACACCCGCCCCACCCGGACTCGGCGCGGGCCAGGCCGATGCCTCTGACAAACCTCATGCCCCCGATCGCAGCGCGACGTCGCCTCTGCACTCTCTGTCGGCCTCGCCCCCCCGCGCCCCCCAAAAAATTGATCGGCCTGGAGACCGGCAAGGGCCTGGGGCGAAATTGTCGCGGACTACGGCGCTCGCCCGCCCTCCCATTGCACGCGACGCAGGACGGAACAGGTTGCCCAGGCACCCACTCCTCACGCGGAGCCCTCCGCGTAGCCCGACAACCCTGACAGCCTGCCGACGCGACGAGGCCACAATCTACACGCGGCCTCAACAGAGCGCCGCGGGCAGCCACGCAGAGGAGCTGATTCCACCCGATATGCGCCACCTTTTTGGCAACAACCCACTGCGACGCGCCGCGCGGCGAATCGGCGCGAATGGGGGGGCGGGCCCATCGAATCCCCCCGCAGGCAAAACACACGGGCACACCTCCAAAGCACCCTCCACATACCGCAATCTTCTGCCTTGGCAGTCATTGCTCGGATTGGAAACGATACGCGGCGCCATAGATCCGAAAAAAACGACGAGAGATCGGCGTCGCAGCAGCGCAGCCGGCCTCCCCGCACACAGAGGCAGCCCTAAAGTTTCATCGCCACGGAGCACGCACGGTCGCTTTCGCCAGCGGCGGCGCATGGCCTGATCCACAGCCTCGAGCGCCGGCAAGGCCATGGGCGGGCACGCGCAGGCAGCAATAACAGGGTTTGAGCCTGAAGATGGGCTAGCAGCGGCGGCCCCGATTAAGCTGGCCCGGATTGGCACGGCACGGGGTTCCGCCCCCGTCGCGTCGACCCCTTCGCCGCCAAGGGGCGAGCACTCGGACCACGCCCGTCGAACGGCATTCCGCGCGCTCCGCCTGCAGCTGATTGGCCGAAGAAAGGCCCGCAGTTGCTCTGGATGGCGCACAGTGGGATCTTTGCCTGCCGCGCCATCTGCCCAATCGGCGACGCACGTCTGCCCACCTCTCCCACGAGGACCTCCAATCCGGCGAGCCGCGCCCCGCGTCGGCATTGCGTTGGAGGCGATTGATGGAAGCCGCGAGCTTCGACTGCGTTTTCTTGCCTTCCTGCGGCGCCCCCCGCCCGGATGCCTCGCTTCGCCGGAGACTCTGCTGCGGCCGCTCATCAATGCGATCGACCAGTAGGCGATCCCGTTATTGGTTCCTCCCAATTACTGGCCACTCTCAATTATTGGCCCCTCCCAGTTGGAGCCCCTCTCCGCGCCCCTCATCGGCCTGGATCCAATCCCCATCCTGACTGGTCGGCTTCAAACCCCCGGCAACCATGGTTTATCACGTCCGCAAACGGAGCCCACGCGGGCTCACGGGCCTGCAGATTGGCCCTGGAGACGTCGGTGGCTCGCGCCAGTGCGGCGGCGCACTCCGGGCGCCGATCAGCGGCGTCTGCGCCGCGAGGTCGCCGCGGCTCGCGGCGCCACGGGTCGCCCACCCCCGGCCTGCACGCGCCATCACTTCGGAAAGAAGAGGCCAGAAATTGCGTCTCTCGTCTCCGTGGGCCCGCGCCCTTGAATACCACCACTTCTTCACTAATATGGGCCTCCAGCGCGCCGCGGCGGGGATGGGCATGCCCCCTGCGCCAGCGACGCGGGCCACCGCTTCTGCCAGGGCTATCTGCACCCCGCAGAAATGGTGCGCCAGCTGCTCGCCCGCTGGGACCCATCCGCATCGGTAAAGCGATTTCCGCGCGCGACCAGCTGCCGATGCCATCTTCCTGCTTGCTGCCCCGTCCGTCGTGAACCTGATCGCGCGCAGCCAACTGCACGCGGCCGTCGACCCCTGGCCCCATCTGGCGAAACAGATCCAGCACGCCCGTCAGCACTGCGTCGGGCACTCCGTTCAAATACTCATTCTCATACCGCCGCAGCTATCCGCCAAGATCGGACCGAGCGGCAACGGGAAAAGAAAAGGGCGGGCCGGGGGCGCCGTCCGCCTCCGCCACGGCGAACTCCTGCAGCGCGCCTGGGAAGCGCTTCAGGTCGCAATCGCGAACGCACTTGGCCAGAAAGCCGCGAAGAACCATCACGCCGCGACGGCAAGGGTCGCTGCCTCTGTCCAGCGAGCGGCCGTCCTTGGTGCGTTGTAACCATATGCCATCCAGCTCACAGCGCCGTTGCCCGTCATGCCTCGCCCCCATGATCACCCACCTCACGCGCTGAGCCAATGCGCGTTGCATGGGGGGGGTCGAAGCGCGCCCCCGCCGGTCGCCCATTCAAAAACACCGGCCCCCGTTGGCACGCGTCGCGGATACAGCCTATCAGAGAGTCCAGAGCGTGGAGCGATGGGCACGAGAAGCGCCGCCCTGGCGCGAGGCACTGCCAGCTGCACGATAGTCAAGAGGAGTACGCATAGGGACCCAGGTCCGCCATAAAGCATGGAGCGCGCAGGAAACATCGAGGGCATTGCCCACGAGAACCGATAGCGAGTAGTCCCAAGCTTTCGCAGCGGTCCCCCAGGAGGATGGCAACACAACTACCCGACCCTCCTTTGCATTCCCACTCTTGCCTGCACGCGCCCCCGCAGGCCTCCACAACAGTGTCGCGGAGAAGTCGGGGCGCTCTGCAGACGCCGGCGATGCGAGCGCCGGATCGAACGACTGCTTGACATAGTCGGATACACCCACATCAACGAAGGCAGCACGTCCTTTCACATTCCCCCGTCGGGCTTCCGCTTGCGAATAGTTCGGGGCCCACTGCCGGCACAAAGAACGTGGAAGTCGGGTCGCTCGACGGTCTGACGCTGAGAGCGGCACTGACAGGCGGGTGCTGCGGCGACGGTGGGCCCCCGGGCAACTGAAACACAATTCGAAAATACCCGAGGGCGGAGGGCGGGGCGCGCCGTGCTTCTCTTAGATGTTCTGGTGCAGGTAAAAATGGTCGTGCTGAGGTACCTCGACTTTTCCGGGTTGCTGGGTCGGCGGGGCACCGCTGGCCCCTCGAGGCGCGGCGCCTGCCGAAACGAGGTGGCTGCCCAGCATGAGTAGAGCAAGTGCGCGTGGTACGCGTTGTAGAGCGGGTCAACGTGTGCGTCGATGTTCACCGGTCGGCACAAGCACGGAAGAGAAACTCGCGGGCCAAGGTGGCGGGCGCGGTGGTGGAGCAAGATGCTCCGCTACACCGTAGAATGTAGAGCGGAAGGGCAAAAAAAATAACTCCTCTGCGTATCCCTGATGTAAAACGGAAATGTCTAGCGCGTAAGATAGCGAGCGCGGAAAGACAACTTGAGCAAAAACGGCAACAAGGGGAAAAAACTTGCCGCATCCACCCTTCACTGATAACCTACCGTTCGACTATGAGAACGAGGAAAAAGAGCAGGAGGTGGAGGCGGAGGACGGAGGATAGAGGATAAAGGCTGAAGGATGGAGGATAGAGCATGGAGAAAGAGGAAGAGGAGGAGGACGGAGTGGGGTGGAGGATGGAGGATGCGAGATGGAGGCTGGAGGATGGAGGATGGGGGAAGGAGGATGGAGGCTTGAGGATGGAAACTGGAGGAGGAGGAGGAGGAGGAGGTGGAGGAGGAAGAGAAGGAGGAGGAGGAGGAGAAGGAGGAGGAGGCCTGCTGGAGGCGGCGTGGAGCCCAGGGCTCCGGGCCGCGGGCGACGCTGCAGCGCTGGCGCTGCCGCTGGCCACGGACCCCCGCTCGGCCTGGCGAGGAGCGGAGGGCGAGAGGCACCACATCAAGCACGAGCCACCACATCATCATCTCCTCCTCCTCCTCCTCCTCGGCTTCGTTTTCTTATTATTCGTAATATTATTCATAGCATTATCATGTATACTATTAATAGTATGTATAATATTGTATTTCATAATCTTCAGATTAGCATTATCACTGTTGCTCTCACTATTAGCACTTATTATTGATCCTTACTAGTATAAGCATTAGTTGTATGCGTCTTACTTCCAGTACTTCATAGATTTATTACTAGTACCTTATTCGTAATATTAGTCGTATCTCGGCTGCAGTAGCATTATTGTTCTTATTACGTGTACTCCTAATATTCATAAAATAAACAAGAACAACTGTAAATGTTATTACTGGAGAAGTCATATTGTTCTGGTCATTGTTTAATAGAACTATTCATGTGGTTACCGTTATTGTCATTGAACATAGTGGTAGTAGAAGCAGTAGTAGTAGTAGTAAACTGATGGTAGTAGTCGTAGCAGTAGTAGTAGTAGTTCAAGTAATCACACTACTCGTCTTCGCATTACTATTATTATTCGTTGTGAGAGTCCCAATTATACCAGTACTAATGATCACATTCTTAGTAGTGCTATCATTATTATTGGATTAATATGATTGGTCTTATTAGTAGTACTACGTTTCGTCTTCTTAGCTATATGATGATCCACGTGATTTCCGTTATTTTCAGTATGTGCTAAACGAGTAGTAATAGTATTACTTCCATTCGTTATAGTATAATCCTCCTTCTAAGTAGTAGTCTCCCTCCTCCTACTACTCATCCTCTTCCTCCTCCTCCTCCCCATCCTTCCCTTTCCTCCTCCTTCTTCCCCCTCATCCACCACCACCCCCTCCTCCTGCCTCTCATCCTCCTCGTCCCTCCTCCTCCTCCTCATCCTCCTCCTTCCTCCCCCTGCTCCTCCACCACCACCACCACCACCCTCCTCCTCCTCTTTGTCCTCCTCCTGCTTCTCCTCCTCCTCCTCCTGCTCCTCCTCCTCCTCCTCCTCCTCCCCCTCCAATCCTCTTCCCCCTCCAATCAGCACTTCCTTCCTCGATCATCCACCCTCCAGTTTCCTTCATGCTCAATCCACCCATCATCGATCCAACCATCCATCCATCAATCCGTCCATGTATCCATCCCTTCATCCATCAATCCTCCTCCTTCTTTTCCGCCTCATCCTCCTCTTGCTCCTCCTCCTTCTCCTCATCATCATCATCAGCAGTAGCAGTATCAGCATCCTCCTCCTCCTCCTCCACCACCTCCTCCTGCTCCTGCTTTCATCCCTCCTCATCCTCCTCCTCCCACCTCCTCCTCCCCCACCACCACCACCACCATCACCTCCTCCTCCTCTTCCGCCTCCTCCACCTCCTCCATCTCCGCCTCCTCTTCCTCCTCCTCCTCCTCCTTCTCCTCCCAATCCTCCTCATCCTCTTCCTCATCATCATCCTCCTACTCCTCTTCTTCCTCCACCTCCTCCTCCTCCTCCTCCTCCTCCGCCTCCTCCTCGTCCTCCGCCGCCTCCTTCTTCCCTTCATCATCCAATCGTCTTCCTCATCCAATCAGCACGTCATTCCTCTATCATCCATCATCCGATCCTCATTCCTCCATCCTGCATCCGCCCACCCTCCATCCACACGTCCATCCATCCATCCATCCATACATACATCCACCCATCCACCTCATCATCCTCTTCCTCCACCTCGTCCTCCTCCTCACCCTCCTCCTCCTCCTCCTCAACCTCATCATCATCGTCATCATCAGCATCAGAATCATCATCAACCGCATCATCATCATCATCATCATCATCATCATCATCATCATCATCATCATCATCATCATCATCATCAGCATCAGCATCAGCATCATCATCATCATCATCATCATCATCATCATCATCATCATCATCATCATCATCATCATCATCATCAGCATCAGCATCAGCATCGTCATCATCAGCATCAGCATCAGCATCATCATCATCATCACCATCATCAGCATCATCAGCATCAGCACCCTCATCAGCATCATCGGCATCAGCATCATCACCACCACCACCACCATCATCAGCATCATCATCGTCATCATCAGCATCATCATCATCAGCATCATCATCATCATCATCATCACCATCACCATCACCATCATCATCATCATCATCATCATCATCATCATCATCATCTCGTCATCATCATCCGCATCATCGTCATCATCAGCATCAACCTCCTCATCATCACCATCAGCAGCAACAGCAACAGCATCATCATCAGCATCATCAGCCTCATCAGCATCAGCAACAGCAGCAGCATCATCATACGGCATCGTCATCACCGGCATCAGCAGCATCATCATCATCATCATCATCATCATCATCATCATCAGCAGCAGCAGCAGCATCAACAGCCTCATCAACAGCATCCCCACCATCAGCATCAGAATCATCGTCATAATCATCATCAACATCATAATCATCATCACCAGCATCATCATCATGATCGTCAGCATCAACATCATCATCATCATCATCATCATCATCATCATCATCATCATAATCATCATCATCATCATCATCATCATCATCATCATCGTCAGCATAACCATCATCACCATCATCATCAGCATCATCATCATCTTCAGCAGCAGCATCTGCATCAGCATCCTCATCGTCATCATCATCATCGTCAGCAGCATCAACAGCATCATCATCAGCATCCGCATCACCATCATCCTCATATTCATCATCATCCTCATCAGCATCATCAACGTCATCATCCGCATCATCATCAGATCATCATCAGCACCAGCATCATCAGCCGCAGCATCAGCATCAGCATCATCATCATCATCATCATCATCATGAACAGTATCAGCATCATCGTCATCATCATCATGATCACCAGCATCATCATCATCAACATCATCAGCATCATCATCACCATCATCATCATGACCACCAACATCAGCATAATCAGCAGCAGCATCATCAGCATCCTCATCATCATCCTCCTCCTCATCGTCCTCCTCCTTCTCCACCTCCTGCTCCCTCTCCTCCTCCTCCTCCTCCTCCTGCATCCCTCCCTCCCTCCCTCCTTCCCTCTCTCCATCCCTCCCTCCTCCGCCTCTTCCTCATCCTCCTCCTCCTCATCCTGCTCCTCCGCTTCCTCCTCCTCGTCCTCCTCCACTTCCTCATCCCCTCCTCCCCCGACGACGACGACGACGACAACGACGATCACTACTACTACTACTACTACTACTACTACTACTACTACTACTACTACTACTACTACTACTACTACTACTACTACTACTACTACTACTACTACTACTACTATACTACTACTACTACTACTACTACTACTACTACTACTACTACTACTACTACTACTACTACTACTACTACTACTACTACTACTACTACTACTACTACTACTACTACTA